ACATACATATCATATCATATTAAGAAGAACCTGTTATATCAAGAGAGTCAACTCAAAAGGAGAGAAGTTAACTTTAAATCTTGTGCAAAGCATGGTTTTATATGAAAGAGGGCTTTCAGCTGAGTTTGGATAATAAATAGGATTTAAGTGTTTGAAAATGAGGGAAAGAGATATTCTAAGAGAATTAAAGAACTGAAGTTGAAACAGTATTTGGATTTGGGGAATAGTAAACCATTCAGTAAACTGGAGCAAGATAAAAGAGAGGGATAAAATAAATAAAGTTCAAACAGGTTAGGATGAGGTCATGGAGAATTATGAATGCTAGGATAAGTATGCTGCATTTTATTCTGCAGCAATATGGAAGCTACTGAAGGGTGTGTTTTGTTTTTATTTTATTTGGGGCAGGGTGTCTTCTTTCTATAAAGAAGTAGTTTCGCCCTAGCCAGTTTGGCTCAGTGGATAGAGCATCAGACTACATATTGAAAAGTCCTAGGTTCGATTCCGGTCAAGGGCACATGTCTGGGTTGCGGGCTCGATCACCAGTAGGGGGAGTGCAGGAGGCAGCCAATCAATGATTCTCTCTCATCATTGATGTTTCTATCTCTCTCTCCCTCTCTCTTCCTCTCTGAAATCAATAAAAATGTATTTTAAAAAAGTAGTTTCTTATCATATTACTTATAATATGTATATGAGTAAAGGATGTGTATTTAATTTTTGAAAGTTGAAGTTTTGCCAAATATTTTATTAAATTTAAAATGTTTTCCCATTAGCTTTTAATTATTTTGTATTTTATCTCATATTATGTATTTATGGAGTTTTCTGTGCATTTTAAAGCTATTATCTTATTTTCCTGGATTAATCATATTTTTCAATAGAATCTGTCATTTATTTGTACAACTTACAATCTAGAGAAAAATAGCTTTTTTTTTTCATAGTCGACAGCTATTTATGGGATTGATTGTTGCTTTGGATGACAATGGGAACGCTGAAGGTCAGATGTTCTGGGATGATGGACAAAGCATTGGTGAGTTTAGACTTTCCAAGGTCCCCATACATCATTCAGAAAAATCACATTCTAGAGGCTCAGGATATAATTGGAATTAACTGAAAATCTATTTATTTTTGCTACTGTTAATAAAGTAAGAGCATTGCTTGAGCTTTTTGTGTTAGAATAAAAAATATTGCTAAATCTAAGGTCACAAAGATTTACCCTTTTTTGTTTTCTAAGAGTTTCATATTTTAAGCTCTTATATTTAGGTCCTTGAACCATTTTGTGTTAATTTTTGTATATGATGTGAGGCAGGGGCTCCAACTTTGTTCTTTGCATGTGGATATTGAGTTGTTCCAGTTTTTTTGTGAAAAGATTTTTCTTTCACCATTGAATTCTTTTGTTACCCTTGTTGAAAATCAATTGACTTTAAATGTGAAGGTATATTTACATAATTGAGGACACAGGAAAAAAAACTTCACATTTAAAAGACATATAATCTTTTTAATTCATTCATTCTTATGCCAGTACCACTCTGTCTTGAGACAGTTACTTTGAAGTGAGTTTTGAAATCAGGAAATCAACTTTCCTCTTTTTCAAGAAAATGCTTTTTTAAAAGCAGGTTCCTCTACCTCAATAGTATTGACATTTTAAGCTATATAATTTATTGTTGCTGGTGGTGGCTGGGCTGTTACTTTAAAATGTTTAGCAGCATCCCCACCCTGTACCCACTAGATGCCAAAAGCACTCCCCTTTTGTAACAACCAAACATGTCTCTAGATATTGCCAAATGTTCCACCAGCAAAATCACTGCTAGTGTGTTATGGAAATCTAGAGTTTTTTTCTACAGCTTGAGCTGATTAGGACTAGATGATGTCATAGTGGGTTAATAACAACACAGTTAGGGTATGAAATAAGCCCCCTACGAGCAATATATTAAGAGGAAAACCAATTTTCTATAAAATTTTAGGTTTCTACAACAAATATGTTTCAATCTCAAGGTTAAAAATCACTAGTTCCTGCAAGTTTTAAGCTTTTCAACTTCTATAGAGAAGCTCTTTGCTTCACCAAACAGACTTCTAAATTCAAATTTAAAGTAGCAAGATACAGTGTAAGTATACATCTGATTGAAATTTTCTGTTAACAGGTTTGTAACTATTTGTTAAACTTTTTCTTACTTACATAAGATTTAATAGCTAGTTCAAGGATCATTTTAAAACCCCCATATTAACAGAATCCCATCCTTTAAAAATTATTTAAAACTGCTAAAAGAGACTATGATATTTACTTAGGGTACATATTCTAGCCAAGACCAAATTTAAAAATAGGGTTTCATAATCGTTTGTTTCCACAAGAGTTGGGGTAATTTAGAAAACAAAGAAGAGGCTTTGTCGGTTCAGGGAGAGAATATGTTATAATAACAGTAAGAGATGGAATGTTGACAAGGGCCAAGATAAGAACATGATGTGAAACTGACTTTTACAAAATAGGAGGTATAGAAGCCACATGATGAGGATGAGTAAAGTGGACATCAACTGGGAAATATTTCAAGGAGATGTGTGGGCAAGAGATCATATGGAGAGATATTTAGATTTGATATACCATGTCACTATCACTGGTGACTTTGAAAGGTCCAATTCAATGAAAAAAGGAAATAGGAGCTGAAGTGTAGGAGATGTAGGATTGGATTATGAGTTGAGTACACAGACATAACAAGCAGAGGCTACCTTTTTTGAGACATGGGCACTAGAAAGGAGATATGATAACTTGATGTAGAGAGAATCAAGTTAAGGATTTGTCAGAATGAAGTGCTCTGGAGCATAATTGAAGCTTGGAGGAGCAAGGAGAATATGGAGAAGAACTGGTGGAGTAATTCCTGGGAGGCAAGAGGGCTTGAGATATAGAATGCTATGGAAGGATGAGCTAAGAGTAGAGACAGAATAATAAAGATGAAGATTACAATAACTGATGATGATATTGAAAAACAAATTTTGAATACTTATTATGCACAAGCAACATGTTCTGTTCTTTATTGCCATGAGTTAGTCCTATTTTTTGTCTTCATTTTATGGATGATAAAATGTTAAGTGACTTGCCTGAGATTGCACAACTACGAAGTGCAAGAGTGGGGATTTGAACCCATGCCAATCTGACTTGAGAGTCTGAATTCCTAACTGCTCTCCTCTGCTTATCATCATATCCATGTGAGCTCTCATGGCTATGTGCTTGCTATGTTGGCACAGAAAACAACTGATCAGTAGCCTTCACATTTTTTCACCTATGATAGAAGACCTCAGTTCAACCCAGGTTCTCTGGTCTTTGCAACCTCCTGACCCTTACCTCAAAACACTCTTTTTCATATGCACATCCCCACACTAACTTAGAGTGAAATATTCCCTCAGCTCCTGTTTTTAGTGCTCCTCAGAGAAGTCAAGATTATCCTGATCAGTAATTGTGATCCCATTGAGGCATTTTCTAACTCCATGTAAGATTATCTGCAGCAGTTGAAGTAACGAATAGTTGCATAATCTATTTTCTTGGTTGCAGATACCTATGAAAATGGAAACTATTTTTTGGCAAACTTTACAGCAAGTCAGGTAAGGCTTTTAAAATTGAATTGTATAAATCCTCTTCCAGTTAGCTACAGATTAAGCATTATTCATTAACTGTATGGATATAATATCCCATGTCTTAATAGGAAGACCTTCCTTCCTTTATAAATCAGGTCTGTTGACATTAAAATAAGGAAGAAACAGTCCTTATTTTGATAATTATCCAATATACTATCACTCTATAAAAAGAAACTTGTCATTTGTATTATACTGTGGGGAGGAGAGGGGTGAGTCCTTATATGTATAACATGTTTCCTGGGATTGAGACAGCATTTTCTGGCTAATAAAATTTTGTAGGATAAATGCTACATCTGCTACTCATTGCACAACAAAAAACCCCAAAACTTAAGCAGTATGTAACAATAAATATTTACTTAGCTCATGAGTTTATAATGTTCAGTTGATCTGGGCTGGAGTTGGCTGATCTTGGCTGGCTTACCTAGATCTGCAATCAGTTGTGGTACTGTTAGGCTGCTTGGATGATCCTGGCTGTATTCACTCACATACCTTGGGGTCATATGGCTCTTGAGTGATCTAAAATGGCCTTATGGGCAAGTCTGGGCATGACCTTTTCATGATTGTAAAAAAGGGGAAAAATGGAAATGCCTGAGAACTTCTTAAAATCTCCATTTGCTTCAAGTTGACTAATATCCCATTAGTAAGTCACATGGCCAAGCCCAGACACAAAGGTAGGATAGAATGCCCCACCAGAGCAGAAGTGTATTACAAAATTATATGGAAAATGGTATGGATAAGGAGGGGTAAATAATTTGAGACAGTGATTCAATCAATCTACCATGCATGTTTTATTATTCCATGGATAACCTACAAAATTCTAATTAGAGTAGGAAGATCATTTTATGTCAAACCTGGAACCTTCTTTCATTTGTTCCCCATTGATTTGAACTAAGGAATAGTATAACACAAACCTATTGTGTCTTTTATACATAATTAGAGGCCTGATGCACGAAATTCATGAAAGAGTAGGCCTTCCTTCCCCTTGCTGCTGGCACCGGCTTCCCTCTGGCACCTGGGACCCGGGATTCCCTCCTGTGCCCAGGACCTGGGCTTCCCTCACAGCCCCAGCTTCATCCAGAAGGTGGTTGGGAAGGATGTCTGATCTAATTAGCATATTACGCTTTTATTATTATAGATAGTGCTTCAAGTATGTGACAATGTCTGACATATATCCTTTCTGTTCTCTCTTCTTGGAATCATAACTTCCAGGGAAACTTCCTCTATTTTGTGGTTAAATAGTTTTCAGATCTGATTATTCTGTTGGACTACAATTAGTACAGATTTGTCTTAAAACATGTTATTTAGGATGGAGAGACTATCTTAGACCTGCACTATCCAATATGATAGCTACAATAATATTGGGTATCATCAAATTTACTGTAGCTGGTACTCAGAAAGTAGTCTTCATGAAATGTTTAATTAAAAATAAACAGCAAACCAGTACAATAGTAATTTGAGGCTTAACATTTTAATATGGAATATAGGCAATCAACAGATTTAGTATATGTTTTTTATTTTTATACATTTCTTATAGAACATATTGCAAATCCAGACCATGCACAATAAGTATTTGAATGATTCAAATCAACTGAAAGTTGGATATATTAAAATCTGGGGGATCCATTCTACTTATGTGACACAAGTCAATGTCACCTATGACAACAAGCAATTCACGACAACGAATTTCATGAGTGACCCCTACAATCAGGTATGTCTCAAAGGAATGTTGTTATGTCATAAATTAATTTTATTCTGCAAAGTTACCACCACTATTACTATCAGTTATATTTACTTATATTTGAAAGGTTATAGACATATACAATAGATATGTTCCAGAAAAGTTGCAACTATTAAATTATATTGTAAAGTATAAAATATTAGTGGTCCTCCCCAGTGTAATCAAGGGAGCAATGATCAATGGTGTGATGAAATCCTTTCCATTGGTTTCCCAAGGAAACTATGCTATGTGTTAAGTTTGGTTTCCCAGGCTAGTATAACAAAACCTATGTCTGTGGCAGAGGCTCAAACAAAGGAAAGAGTTATCTAATAAAATTGTTATTGGAGATTTTTCTCCCTTCTTCCTGAAATTACTCACATCCTTGGTCAAATCAATAGATCTCATAGGTTGGTGAAAATTGGCAGAAAATTGGTGGTAATCATAAAAATGAATATATGCTACCTGTGATGTGAGATCAATTATTTGGTTAATGGCCACAGCCAACTAATTGAAGACAGATTACAAGTAGAGTTATCAAGAGTAACAGCATAAGGAAAAGTATCCCACTTTTGAACACTAGATCTAACATAAATATGGATTCAGTAACTCATAGGGAGTGGTTTAGAAAGGTAAAAATGGATTATTCTTGTTTTCTAAAAGATAAAAAGAGTGTCCTGCTGGTACTTGAATTTTGGACAATGACCCTCTGAACATTCAAACAGATCCTCTCTCTCCAATCTCATTAATTTTTTTAAGTCACTAAGAATTGATTTTTTAAATAATTTTGTTTATTTTCAATTACAGTTTACATACATTATTATATTAGTTTCAGGTGTACACTTTAGTGATTAGACATTACATAACTTAGTAAGTGATCATTCCAATAATCTTACACCCATCTGACACCATACACAGTTATTGACTATATTCCCTATGCTATATTTTATATCATTTAGTTCTCTACTTCATAACATTTTTCCTGAACTATTGATCTCAAAACCACCCTTTGCAAGTAAATACTTCCAGTTAAGACTGATACAGAAGATTTTTGAACACTTTCTTTTGGGGAAAGTTTGTAGCATATCAGATGCGCATTTGTTATGTGCTGGTCTCAACCTATCAATAACCAAGGTTGTGGCTGGACCAGCTCATGTGGTTCTTATTATGAGTAAAAGATGTTTTTCAGCAATAATCATCAGGAAACTTTGAAAAGATACAAGCTTATAACTTATATAAGTCCTGGAAATTTTACAGCACACCTGGGGCCATACAAGGAGGTCCTGGGGCGGTCGGGGTTGGGGGGTGGGTGGTCGAGAATGGGCAAGAGCCTAGGGTTCAGCTTTTTTTGGGGGTTGGGGTAGGGACCTAGGGCTTCCAGGGTTCACTCTTTATTGGTGAATTTGACACATGGTGAATTTCAAGCTTGAGAAGAGAAACCAACAAGGGGACCAAGTGATCAATTATTGAAATCAACCAAGATCTGGAAAACAAAGGAGCTTCCCTGGGCTGGAAATAGATGCCTCTTTGAAATGGACAAATCTGTCAGTTGAAGTTTAACTGAGGCACTTGCCTTACAAAAAAGAAACAAAAAGAAGAAAAAAAAAGAAATCCAAATCTCAGGGTTTACACTACACTATTATGTGCCAGGCAGTATACTATGTGTTGGGGATGGTAAAAACATGAAACCAGACTGCCTTCAGGAAGGTTAAAATCTAGTGGCAAAACAAAGATATTTTTCTGAGCATTGGTTTTAATCAAATATGCAAATTCTTGAGCAGTGTAGTTCTGACTAAATGAAGTAGAAAGACACATTTCTGGCACAGGGATTATGCCCAGAGCATAACTTAGTCTCTATAGTCATCTGTCTGGAATCAATGTGACCTGAAAAGGAACCTTCTGTTACTCTCTGGGGAAAAAATGAACACATCATTTGTTGTTGTTAAATGTGATGTTTAAGACGTTCTAAAATACCAATGTTATCTCTTCTTTTCTGGCAGACACTAACTATTCAACTGATTGACAAGATTTTCAGTCTGGAAAAGTTAACTGAGGTCACTTGGAGTCACCATGTTCCCGATGTTACTACTACACCTATGACGAGTACCTTCTCATCAACATCTCCAGATCCTACATCTACTATTATTGCTACCATTTCTGAGTCTATTGTCACTAGTTTTGCTTCAAGTACTAGTTCTGCTAGCAATAGTACAGCCTCTCCTATTATAACCACTTCTTTCCCAACAAGTACTATTGAAGATACACCTGGTACTATTGTTCCTAATACTCCTTTCCCTACAAATACTACCACTGCTAGCACTGGTACTGCCTTTCCTATCACAACCACTAATACAACTACTCCTTTTCCTACAACTACTCCTTTCCCTACAAATACTACCACTGAAATCACTGGTACTGCCTTTCCTATCACAACCACTAATACAACTACTCCTTTTCCTACAACTACTCCTTTCCCTACAAATACTACCACTGAAATCACTGGTACTGCCTTTCCTATCACAACCACTAATACAACTACTCCTTTTCCTACAACTACTCCTTTCCCTACAAATACTACCACTGAAATCACTGGTACTGCCTTTCCTATCACAACCACTAATACAACTACTCCTTTTCCTACAACTACTCCTTTCCCTACAAATACTACCACTGAAATCACTGGTACTGCCTTTCCTATCACAACCACTAATACAACTACTCCTTTTCCTACAACTACTCCTTTCCCTACAAATACTACCACTGAAATCACTGGTACTGCCTTTCCTATCACAACCACTAATACAACTACTCCTTTTCCTACAACTACTCCTTTCCCTACAAATACTACCACTGAAATCACTGGTACTGCCTTTCCTATCACAACCACTAATATAACTACTTTCCCTACAGCCACTCCTTTCCCTACAACTACTACCACTGTTAGCACTGGTACTGCCTTTCCTATCCCAACCACTAATACAACTACTCCTTACCCTACAAATACTACCACTGAAATCACTGGTACTGCCTTTCCTTCCACAACCACTAATACAACTACTCCTTACCCTACAAATACTACCACTGAAATCACTGGTACTGCCTTTCCTTCCACAACCACTAATACAACTACTCCTTACCCTACAAATACTACCACTGAAATCACTGGTACTGCCTTTCCTTCCACAACCACTAATACAACTACTCCTTTCCTTACAACTACTACCACTGCTAGCACTGGTACTGCCTTTCCTATCACAACCACTAATACGACTACTCCTTTCCCTAAAACTACTCCCACTGCTATCACTGGTACTGCCTTTCCTTTCACAACCACTAATACAACTACTCCTTTCCCTACAAATACTACCACTGCTAGCACTGGTACTGCCTTTCCTATCACAACCACTAATACAACTACTCCTTTCCCTACAAATACTACTAATACTACCACTGGTACTGCTGGTCTTATTACCACTCCTCTTTCCCCAACAGATACCAATGCTACTAGCACTAATAATACGCTTCCGATTACAACTATTCCTTCTCTTACAAATACTGAGACTGATACTACTAGCATGGATTCAGTTACTACAAATGTTTTAAATACTACCACTGCTAGAAACACAAAAACAACTACAGCTATCACAACAGTTACTTTAATAACAAATGGTACTTCTGAACAAACTACTACAGTGATCATGTCAACTCTACCTCCTACAGGCACCCTTGGTATCACCACCACAGATAATGCACTGACCAGAATCAGTACCACTACTTATCCTCCAGATACCCCTACCCATGCTTTAAGTACCACATCCAGGAGCACTCAAAGCACCACCAATACAAATATTACCAATATGACAACTGGTGTTACTGACATTATAAATACTCCCACTAGAAACAGCTCAGCTACTACTGATACAATAATTACTAGTACTCAAGACATTTCCACTTCCTCACATATGAACATTACAGATATTAAATCTACTACTAAAGTTACTGGAAATGCCATCACAGCGTATACTACCACCATCACTACATCTGTTTTCAGCACAAAAACTGCAAATTCAAACACTACTTCTGACACCATCCTTACAAACACTTACATTCCAAGTACCACAGCTATTCCCACCACCAATACTATGAACACTACAGAGCATTCAGAAAATATTGCTGATGAAGATAACTCCAGGAGTGTTTTTATTCCAAATACTACAGTAGCCTCAGATTCATTAACACCTTTTCTAGATACAGCAACTCACCATCATGTAACAACAAATTCTACAACCAGTTTTTTACCTCTTATTGTAACTAATGCGACCACGGCTATTACGAATGTTACCATTTATGCTTCAAATACTAGTATTCCTGATAGAACACCAATGGATGCCTCTACTCCTGCATCGTCTTATATTGCAAACACCACAAATACTACTGTAGTTCCCTGATTACTACTCAAAGCAGGATAACTACTACAGGCATCTCTTTAAAACTATTACAGATATAGAAAATCAATAAACAGGTACATGATTTTATGCTACATAAATTTTCACAAATATCTGCACTAGCTTTTACAGATATGGCTACTCCAAGCACTGTAGGCATTGAAGGTATATCTCAAGATGTATCCAGTACTTACTTTGTAACTACTTCTTTTGGAACCAGAATATATGCAACTATTTTTAAAATTATAACTCACATAGCCCCATCAATTACACCACAGGTATTTTATGTATTTTACTACAGACTTCACAGATGATTTTGATATCCTTTAAAATACCACATTAAGCTCTATAAATACTGTTGCTTTAGATATAGTCATTGGAATCACCCAACTTGTTCTTGGTTTACAGGACATAATACTATAATTGAGAGCACTGGTGATACCAGACACTCAAATAACTGCTACAGCAGTAGTTATTAATACTACAGTACATTATTTAATTAGTAATGCTAAAAATCACACTTTATTTTCCTATGGACTTTTCCAAATACCATGGCTACCAATATCGTAATTTGCTATTACACAAACTGGAAGTATTAATGCTTTTAAAGGAATCTTATTTGTAGCTATAAATAGAAAAAATGCTACCATTGTAGACTTTCTAAACACTCTGACTCCAGGAACTGAAATAACTAAATTAGGAATATTATAAGCTACTGTTACTATACTAGAAAATAAGAATATGATCATTGATGTTAAAAACATAACTTCCGAAACTTTGCAACCATTACTTCTGTAGGGACTACTGATACTCTTACTACAGATTTGAGAAGTACTTGTATTTATAGACATTAAAAGTACTCCCAGGGAAAAATTAATCTTACTTATGAGATAATCTTACACCCTTGCTGTTACCACTAATGGCTGGACTCACTTACACGGATCTAACTCTTTTATAGATCAGAAATCACTCAGGTGGATTTAAATCTGTAAAGATATGGCATAGAGGGGACAGTTTCTGTCCTGGCATCGGAGTTCATAATCTTATTTGCTTTTTATTTTATTCTCCAGCTTTTATTATTTTACCGTCTAGATAGACTCTCCTTCAAGGGGTTAGGACTACCAGCATGTTCTCTGTCTTTCATGTCCAAATTCACTATTTATCTTTGATCTATTACTGTGCTTTCTTCTATCACCCAGACTCCCTTGAATAGACTCATGGCTGAGTGCTATTAAAGGATTAACTCTAGTACAGTATTTTCAAAATGTAGTTTGGGGACCCATGGAAGCCCCCAAAACTCTTCCTGAGGTGCACAAGGTCACATTTCATAATATTATATTTGTTAGGTGCCTTTTTCACTTTCATTAGTATACAATGGCATTTTATAGAGATCCTATGCTGTGTGCTGTCACCATAGATGAATACAGAGACAGATACAAGAATCTAGTTCTCTTCTGTTCAACCAGGTATTAAACATATCTACAAAATATAAAATCATGTCATTCTTTTCACTCACTTTTTTGCTTTGGAAAATATAGTTGTTTTTCATAAAACATTATTTATGTTAACTTAGAGTTGATATATTGTTATTTTGAATGAATGAAGAAAATAAATATTTTACAAAATATTGTACAAATGAGTCCCTTTTAATTTATAGTGCAGTAAATATGAATAGATATAACCCACCTAAACAAAGCATGGGGTCTTCATTAAACTCGAATGTAAAGGGGTCCTAAGACCAGAGTTTGGGAATCACTTCCCTAGGGCAACAATATCCTAGTTTCACTCTCAGGTCCTGGTTCCATATACTACGAACTTTCCCAGCATGTAGGAACCCCAGCACATGTGGCTTAAGGTTCTTATGACACACAGATGTCTACCAACTACTGTGAACACATTTGCACAGCGTTCTGACCTACTTCCATGGCTGTGCTATTGTCTGGATGGCTTGGTGTGTTCCACATGAGGGGCACAGATCATCAGTTAGTTTCACTTCCCTTTTGGAATCTACCCACAAATGACAGTCCTCTTGAAAAAATTGATAGACCCTACACCAGAGAATGCACAGCCCAATGCTTATAGAATGGATGGTTTGTGCAATAATTTTTTTTTTACTACCATTTCCCAAGTTTTAAAACCAGATGTTTGACAAGGATTTTGGATCTTAATGGGTTTGTGGCAGGGAATGTGGAAAGGATTCATTGCTAATGTTTTGTCTAGCAATAAAGTAAACAACTAAATGCTATAAGAAGCCAGCATTTGAGCTCTCAAACACACATGTATACAACACAATGCAGAAATACCCAGGACTCCTCCTGCAGGCTAATGGATGGCAGCCTACTGAAACAAAACGGGTATTAACAAGAAAATGTAAAACTCAAGCTAGCAAATTTCCTTTTATTTACCACCCAAGTAAAAGAAATGGAAGATGAAACCATCACCAAAACCAACCTTTTTTTTCCAAACAAGTATAACGATAGTGCTGGGTTAGCAGTTCACTCTTTTATCCTACAAAACCCAAGAACCTCCTTCCTGTCCTGCAGATCTCCAGCCTCGGCAGCATGAGATCTGTTTCTATATGAGGCTACTTGATAGTGTAAATGAGCACCTTTTAAACGTATCAGCTCAAGCTAGTAAAACATGTACTTCTATATTGCGCCGCCATTAAAAGCAGCATTAGTGCAAAAAAAAAAAACAACCAAAAAACACACACCATAGTTTTGTAGTTCCTGAAATTCAATCCTTTGTGTATATAACTCAACAATGATTAAAGCATGGGGTTTTGAAATGTAAGTACTCCTGAAAAAAGAAAAGAACAACAAAACAGAACAAAGAAAAGCTGGACTTAACTTCAGATGTTTGAAGACACTTGAGGATTGAAATGTGAAGTCTATGCACAAGGTGTGGTCCTGGAACCAGGCAGAAAATGTGGAGAGGGAAGAGATAGAATCAAGTATTGGCTGCTCTGACTCCTGAGCTATGCTGGCTCCTGGGCTGCCATCAGACCCTAACACAGGCAGGTGACTCCATGGGACCAGTTCTGAGAGTATCACCTGCTACCAGGTTGGCGCAGGGACTATTACTTCAGGTGGATACTCCTTTCCTTCCCTTTCCTTGTCTCAGTTTGCTCATCTGTAGGATGGAGTAAACATTGGAGCTGCAATGTTCATGGAAATGCATTTTCAGTCTGTAAAGGTCCCTGCAAGGTTTATTATGACTATTACGTAATCCCCCAAAGTGTTCTTATGTCTATTTAAACTTTTTCCTTCTTCTTCCCCGAGGCTTTCCTGATAGCAAAGCAGATTCTCCTTAGTGCTGGTCCTTTATAACAAGGTTGCTATGAGGCCCTGGTTTCCAAACAAGTTTTGTAAAAGAAAACTGCTCTTTGGAGATGACTGTAGTGTCTCAAACTGTGATTTTGGGGAAAAGGTTGTTTTTGTTTTGAGCTGGAAAAAAAAAATGTTTCCCTGCTAAATTAAATAGTGCCCATCTTTCCTCATTATACAAAGGAATTAAGTTAATGGAAATTTATATTTTTCTCTTTTTAAAAATTTATCTTTATTGTTGAAAGTATTATAGATGTCCCCTTTCCTCCCATTCGCCCCCTCCACCCTTCCCCCATACCCTATGGTATTTTTCCTAAGCTTTTTATACTTGCTGCTATTCATATGTTGCCTTCTAGAGAGCTCCATTGAGGACAAAATGTATAAACAAATAACAGAGAATAAAATTTTTGAAATAGCCAATAGAGTTCATATGGACTGTGTGTGTATGTGTGTGTGTTCATGCACATTATGTTATATGGCAAACATATTTTCTGCCAGAAAAATTTCCTGTGGTTTGTGTGATGAAATTAAACTTATCAGTGTTTCATAATTTTCTTCAAAAAGCACTACTATTTGATGGTGATTCATTGAATGAATGTGAGCATTATTGCTTAGTGAGTCCTTGGTTTAGTCTTGCCCCTGAGTGAGACATTGAGTTTCACAGTATTCTCCCAAAGGTGACTTGTGTCCACCTGCTCTGGGGCGTGGCTAGTTGTTTCCCAGTTTATCTGCCTGTGGTTATGCTTCTGTTCACTTACATTTTGTCTAAATAGAGTATAAATATTGAAATACACACATGTGTTACAATCACAACATGGTGAAGAGGTTGTGAGGCGAGGTGGGTTAGTACTATGTTGGGAGGAGCCAACAGCAGGTGTTTTGTGGCTGGAGGTTTTTTGATGACACTTGATGATGGAAAATCCTCAGAGAAGTTGACCTCAACCCAGGCAGGGTTGCTTATTTGAGCACAAGATGCCTAAAGATCTTTGAGAAACTATCCAGGCTAGAAGTTGTATATATGATAATTACCAAGAGTAAATCAAGGTATACTAATTTCAAATTAGACTGTAGGTTATAGTTTCTGGCAAGTTATAATTTATGATCATAACAAGTCCGACAACCTTCATGAAGATTTATAATTCTAATTCCAGCTTTATTTAGAGAAATAATCAAAGATAAATTGGTAATATAGATGACAGACAGTGTTATGGATGCAACACAAGTTCACTTCCAAATATATGCCCAGAAAAAAAGTGCAACTGAATTAAAAGACTTTAGAGCCTATGTAGCTTTAAATTTCCAAATCATAAAAGAATTTTCCTTTAAGCCATATCTTTCTAATCTTCATCAGCACCCACATGCTTCTCCATAAGCTTACCCATTGAATTCTTGGGCAGAATTAATTTTAAAACATTTTTTGATATGGAGATAACTTTTGACTTCTCAGATGTCTACTCATAAGCTTAAACTTCTCATCTTAAACCATCTTTCTGCTAGCCTTTCACTTTTTCAATGGTGGCTACTATTTTCCTACTAATTATCTTGATTAAAGTTCCCTATTTCTCAAACATCCCTCTCATGACCTCTAGTTAAAAAATTTAAAACAGATTTGTTGACTTCTATTAAATGTAGATAATTAAATAAAATAGTTATTTAAATAATTTTCTATAGAAAGCTAGTGATTTTCATTTGTTACACTTGACAGTGAAATTAATCCAAGGGTATATACTATAGCATGCAAACTGGAAGTTCTCTGCTCAGAGTAGTCAAAAACTCTTATTTGGAAAAACTTTTCTGAAAGGAAAAATCTCCATTTTCCTTGACTGATGACAACAGAGATGCCTCAAAGTGAACATAGACAATCCTCTGGTTTCTGGAGAGCGTAGTTTTTCCCATAATCATGAACTTCGGAAAACTTGATTTAAAGTCAGCAAGTCCCTCTGCTTATACATCATGAGGCCCCCAAGTGACCCTAAGCATTGCAAATATCCAACTGAGATGGAAGGAGCTAAATGGGAACACTGAAGGTTTTGCAAAATCTCAGAAGGGAGCATCCAGAATTCTCCAGAAAAAAATAACAGTGAGGGTCATGGGCTTGGTATCTTCCATGCACCTCACCACTCCCAGAGGAAGGGTGTTGCTCTGCCAGGAAGCAGGGCTGTGATGTTAGACCAAGGCTCAGCCCCTGAAGCAGTGGTCTCCAAGTAATGAAGAGCCAGAGTAGGGATTCCTTCCAGAGGACATTAATAATGAGCAAGGCAATTCATAGAGAAACACAGTGACATTAAAGCTCAAAGGATAGGGTGGCACAGAGCTTCTCAAGCTTAGAAGACAGAATGCCCCATTGAGCTCTCAGAGCAGCAGCCACCACAGGCCTGTCAACTGTGGTTGCAAACTGCAGGCTTTGTCCATGTGAACCTCCTTGACATGTTCTGGACTCCAGAGCCAAGGACTACCTCTCTCCACCTTATCCTCCTGTCCTCAGAGCCCAATTCAGCTGGCCTGGCCAGTTAAGGCTCTTCACACCTGGTGATTTGAGTGTTGAGAATGTGACATTTGATGGGATAAATAAAGATCATCCAATAGTAGAGGCATGGTGAGGAGAGCAAGACTGGATTATATGTGGCATTTGGGGCAGGCAGGTCCTCTGATGCCCTCTGGATGCCTTCTATTGAGCAATTTAAGAGACCTCCCAGCTGTCTCTCCTGGACTAAAGGCTCAAAAGAAAGAGATGGCAACAGGAGCTTCAGAGCCAAGGACTACCTTTCTCCACCTTATCCTTCTGTCCTCAGAGCCCAATTCAACTGGCCTGGCCAGTTAGGGCTCTTCACACCTGGTGATTTGAGTGTTGAGAATGTGACATTTGATGGGATAAAGATCATCCAGTAGTAGAGGCATGGTGAGGAGAGAAAGACTGCATTATACGTGGCATTTGGGGCAGCCAGGTCCTCTGATGCCCTCTGGATGCCTTCTACTGAGCAATTTAAGAGACCTCCCAGCTGTCTCTACTGGACTAAAGGCTCAAAAGAAAGAGATGGCAACAGGAAGCAAGTTTAGTTCTATGTAATCTGATGTCTTAAGCTTTGTCCCTTATAAACACAACTCTCTCTTTACCACATATCACACATGTGGTTTGCTGCCTCTGCCTTATGGGGGAGGGTTGCACAAAATGTCAGAATAAGAGAGAAGCAGGAGGCCCCTCTAGGGTCAGCATGGGAGGAGAAGGGCTCTAGGGTTCTCCATCTGTTTTCAAGCCCCTTCCTCCCCACATGGCACCCCCTTGAGTGAGCTGGAGCATCAGACTTCTCAGAGAGTGGTCCACTACCTCACATCCAAACTTGGATCCAGATTTTGTCAGAAAACCTGAGGTCCCACTGGTGCTACTAAAACTTTCAAGGATGAATTGCATAGCTGGTCATGGACGAACCTTATGGAGTATTACAGTGGCCAGGCTTGCAGTGTCCTCCCTTGGGGCCATGGGAAGAGACACATGGGGGACATTTTGGGAGCCAAAAGAGAGGAGTTTCTGTGTTTGATGATCAGGGGACTGAGCAGAGTGGGGACTAGGTATTTGACATGAGGAGACAGTGTCAGATTCCAGCCTGCAGGGTAGCAAGGAGCCAAAAGAAGGCCCCCTGCCCAAACAAGAGGGCAGCCATAGGGAGGTGCCTCAGGGTAGCATTGCCAGAGGCCAAGAGGGCCATTGGTGCAGCCCTGAAGCCTGCAGGGGTCTCATCCTGGGGCTCCACTTTGCCTCCCGATGACTCCAAACAGGGCCCCCGAGGCGTAGGGATGATTTCTGGAATCCAGCCTGTTGTGTTTTCCACTACTTCCTGCAGGAGAAGGGAAAAAATGGACAAAAGTAGAAGCCTCCCCACCTTGTTTCCTTTTCTTGGACCTTACTTAGTTATACCTGTCCTTGCAGCCTCACAGACTAACTGGGAGACTCCAATCCCACCCCCAAACCCAGAGCTGCATAAGCCCAACTTTCTTCGTCATCAGCTTCTTCTTCCTTGATCTAGTGTTGCTATCATTGTCATTCACCTCCCTCATTCTTCTCTAATTCTGGCTTCTCCCAATACCACCCCATATCCCTCCATCCTTAACCCTAAGATGCTCACGTCAATTGTCTTTATTAACACGGTTTGCTGGGCCTCCTTGCAGGCTTTCTCAGCCTTCTTAATGTTCTCCAGGGTCCACTCAACGTTGTTCATGGCCATCATGCCCTCCATGGAACTGCATGGACAAGGACAGGGTGGGGGACAGACAATAGTTTAAGGTCAATTTAAAGCCTTGACAAAAGGTGTATGAAATATCCTCACTTTTGTGAGTGCCAGTTTCATGTCAGCATAAACTGAAAGGAGTGTCTTATAAATCAACTGAAGGCCCACTGCATGAATTTGTGCATAGGTGGGGTCCAGCCAGCCGCTCTGATCAGAGCAATCGGGCCGGACTGGCTGGGGGAAGGGGATGCAGGAGGTTGGCCGGCCAGCCCTGCCCTCTGTTCAAACTCCTGGTCAAAGGAACAATTTGCATATTAGCCTTTTATTGTATAGGATGAAATAGAAATAAGTTTGGCAGAAGGAGAATTATCATTAGGACTCAGAGAAAAGAATTTTTAAGAGTAAAAAAGAGAAACATCTAATTCTTTAAAGACGTGGTTCTTAATCTGAGAGCTACGAAGTCTAAGGATGTTGGAGTAACTTCAGGGAACCTGTAAATGCCCTAAAATTATATGTGAAATGGGGTGTGTCTGCACAGATGTGCATTCTTGGAAAGGAGTCTCAGAGAGAACCCTTACCTCCAACTAATGAAGGGCCTCTACCTGAAAGTAAACACAGTCTGACTGAATCAGGTAGTGCACGAGAAAAAGGCAGACTGAGAATTTGTGCATAAGTGATCTCACTTCTAGAGGTCACATTTGAGGATTTTAGGGTCCAGGATGACTCACTCTGATGCCTCCTCCCCCAGCTCATGGGCCACATAGATGATGTCAGGGTACCCCATGCAGCTGGAGATATTGTTTCGGGGATAGTAGAAGAGGAAGACGAGGCACATCTCATTAATGGTGCTGGGACCCCCCTGGAAAAGAAGAGGGAGACAGATGGAGAGACAAAGATACAAAGGCATGCAGAGAGAACAAGGCAGGCAGAAATGGTTTAGGTATCCATTCTACCAATGAAGCTGTTTTCCTTTCTCCTTAACCTCCAGCTAACTCACTGATCCTTACCACTCCTCACCACACCTCTTCCTTCCACCTCTATTTCCAGTTGGTGGACAGTTATTCATGTCATTTCCAAAGAAATTTCTCACATATCTTCCCATTCCTCTATATTTCCATGGCCACTTTCTTGGTTTGAGAAGATAAGACAAAATATTAACTTTTTTTAAAGCCACTCCCTCAGGAGCTTCTCCAGACTTTCCCATCGGTACACATCTAATTCAGGACCCACTCAAATATGTCACATGTTCTCATCACTTCAGGGAGACCTTATGGTTTTCCCTATGAATTTCCCTAGTACATTACCTCCATTCTACTCTAATGATGCATATCACTTTCTACCTTGTGTTAGAATCATTTTAAGAACAGCATTTTCTTCCTCAGTAGCAAGCAACTCCTTTTGGATCTGACAAGCATAGAACCATTCCTTACACACAATATGGATGGGATTCCTTGTGGCCATAATAACAATGGCTGACTCTAATTGAGCATCTGTTACAAGTCAGACAGTGACCTAGATGCTTTATATGTATTAATCAACTCTCATAACACTTATGCAATGGATAATATTGTTGATTCTTTTATACATTAGAAAACTGAGACACAAAGAACTTGAATAACTTGTCTACAGTTAGAAAGCTACTAATGATTGTGTTGGCATTCAAAGCCAGGCAATGAGGCTTCAAGTCCATGCGTTTGTCATGGTGACTATGCGGGGAGAGAGCTACTTACAAAAGTCAAGGAGTCTCGGTCCAGTGTCTGGTAGTGACACTCTATTAGCAATTCGTCTCCCTATTTAGAGTGAAACACAGAGGCCAAAAATAAGACATAGAGAGACTGGACCGATCTTAGAACTACCCTGGCTAACACTAATGAGCCCTGAGCCTGCCTGTCCCTGACACCAGCCATGCCTCCCCCAGGGTCCCACCGGCTTGATCTCCACTCGATGAGGTAAATCTCGAGTCTCCTGCAGATTGAAGTCATAGGTGTCATCTTTACAGATTGTTCGAAGTTGTGTTCCATTTCTGGAGGGAGAGAAAGAGAGGAGACAGGAATAAGGTGAGGAAGATGAAGTGGGGAGAGTGTCTATCAATAAAGAAGCTGTGTGGGGTGTCACTCTGTGGGTCTAGATTGCTCATAAAACAAGAAAGCTCCTCTTTCCACAGTCTTCCTCAAGGCGTCTCTGCTCTGTGGATAATTCTGGTTCCTCCTTACTCCTAAACTTATACTGAAGAATAAATAACTTTCTAAGATTTATTCCCACATGCACAAGGGAAAGCTTCAAATCCATGCCTTCTTCCCTTACCTGTACTGCACAGCCTGCAGAGCCCGCCCAGCCAGATGGGTATGGAGCAGGTAGCCATATACCTGTATGTCAGGCACCGGGGCCCCATTCATCTGTGACAGGGAGGAGAGGCAGCTGGTTAGTTAAGAACTCTCATCTTGCCCTGCCCCTTGATTTTCCACCCCTACTATTTGACACCTTCTCTCATAACTGACATTAACCCCTTTAGTTTTCACTTGGCCCAAATCTCTGCCCCACTCCCCCTGTCCCCAAAGCCCTGACTCCTTCCATCCCTTGCATAATCCCAGTTAGTGATTTTCCTGAGCACCAGGCTGTAGTCATTGTCCAAGTGTCGGGTGCAGGCTGTATGTGCTGTGGATCAGACCAGATCTGTGATGGGGAACCTCCCAGCCTCACCTCTTCAAACTTCTCTGTCTTACACAGTCCGTAGGACATGAAGGACTCAGCACCCGGGGGGATGAAGTGGATGGGGAACGTGAGGAAGCCCAGCTGCAGGACTCCCATGTCGTATTTGCGCAGGTGTGCCGTGTAGTACATTCGAATCCCCGAGGTGTCGTGCACACCTGGTGCAGAAAGGCAAACCACAGAAGGCAGGAGAGGAGTTCACAGCGTGGGGAGAAAGAGGCCCAGGAAAGCTGTTAGCAAAAGGAGTCAGCACACATCCCAAAACAACTTCTCAATTCCTGGAGGCATCAGACAGCCTGCCCAGCTTTTCTTCCATAAATGCTCAGATACTCACCAGGAAGGTTGTGAAAATTGCTGTAATGAATCTCCAGTCGGATCCACTGGGGGTCCAAGGGGGTCCCAATAGAGACGCCCACATCATCTGGAAACTGGTAACTCTGTTGAATGAAGGGAATTGGCAGCAAGAAAGACTGGAGCTGGGTGCAGGCTGGGAGCTAGGTGCAGGGACCCATCCCAGACCTCCCTGTCTCCCAGCCTTCATCAGCCCAGCAATTGCAGTTCCCAACAGCATGCACCCCTTAGCCACCTATCTCCTCATCACAGGACTCACTGTGCCCCCGACAGCCCAGCCCACGATGACCTGGGAGCAGAGGGAGAAGGCAGGGTCAGCCCCATAGCAGTCGCTGATGCCCGTGGGCAGAGCACTGGCATTGCCACAGGCGTACACAAGGATGTGATGCACCATCGTCTCATTGTGGTAGACCAGCTTGGGCTCAAACTGGTAGGAGGGGAGGAGGGCAAAGCATAGTCATGATCCTCTATGCTATGTTAAGTCCTATTCCCCACATTCCCCTTCCCCAAATAAAACTGCACCCATTCTCTGCTTCTCTTTGATTTTCTTTCTCTTACATTCAGTTTTTTCTTCCCTAACCTGTCATTTTCCCCCTCAACTCTGACTCCTCTCTCGCCTCCACCCTTTTAAAACATCTCTCTGAGAGCATAGCATGCTAACGCCCATGACTTCAGACTTTCCCTTACAAACCTCATTAGCCTGTGATATCTGAGCATGCAACCACTTCTTGTTGGAGTCTCTTACTAAAGAAAATATGGTTTCCACACTTTTGCTACTTATTATAAGATCATACTTTTATTTATTTAATCAAAATTGGAACCACCCAAATGTGGAATCAGGTGACCAAGTTTGCGTTCCCTCTAGCCCTTGGCCATGTTCCTCCCAGCCAACACCTCCTTTTGGGCTAAGAGCACAATTCTGGGGCTGGGGTGGGGCTTACATTTTGTTCTTTGCAAACTTATGAATTCGTGAATTTCATCAAAATCTCAGATGCATTGTGGGGCTGGAGTGAAACAGTGCTGGGAGCTATAGTTCTGGGCTCAGGAAATCAGGAAACTACCATGTCCACCAAACCTAGCCTGGCCCCATGTTAGCCCCACTGCTTCCCTTCTGCTTCCTCCCAGCAATCATCTGATTGACATCATCCCCTCCCAATCCACTGAGCTGCTCAACCGCCTTGACAGTGTCCCATCGTCTGGTTCACCATACCTTGTAGATGTGATGCTTCTTACTGACGATGGGGAGAGGGAGGAAGGTGCAGGCATATGTGGTGTCGTCCTCTGGGATAAGGAACTGAAGAGAGACACACAGAGGCTAGGCTTGGGTGGGAGTGAGCCTCCCAGAGAATCAAGGAAAGGGACAGACCAGGAAAGAGTGTCCACTTAAAGGTCAGTATGGTCATCCTCCAGGGACTGATAAAAGTCAGAGAAACTTCAATTCTAGGAACATACTGAGTATTGGGTACAAGAGGAGGGTGTGGATTGACTGGGAAGGGGGCTGTAGGAGGCTGGGTGTGATGGAGGGATCTTACATCAGTGATCTCCAAGTCATGGATGATTGTGTCCTCAGGTACATCAAGATCATCTGGGTGGACTATTTGTAGCAGGAAGATGGACTTGACAAAAGTACGCTCCGGGTCCAGCTTCAGCATGTCATCCAGGCCATAGGCAGCCAGCACTCTCACCGTGTCACTCTGGGGGAATCATGGGCATTGAGATGCTACGCCCATGAGCAGCATTTTGCACACACCCAAGGACCAACACAAACCACTTGCTCATGTCTACACAGTGGGATGGAAAGAGCTTCAGGTTCAGGGGTGAGAGCTAGTCAGGTCCTAGTTCTGCCTCTGAGGCCAACTTGTTGGAAACATTGAGCAAGGCACATCCCCTCTCTTATTCCCTCTCTATGCCTGTGTCCACACCTGGTAAATGACACTCTAAAGTTCAGTGAAATCGGACAGGGTACTTCACAAGAGGAAGGCTGGGGAGGGTGGAGGTGGCGGCTGAATCAGTAGGAAGTCATTTCGTAGAAGGCTGGTAGATTTTAAGAGTAGGAATAATTGAAATGGAGATAGAAGTCTTAGGAACTGTGCCTGGCTACCTGAGATGCATGAACATTCCAGCATAGGGATGACTATACCTCCCAGAAGAAAAAGCAGTCTGTGCTCAAATACTTTTCTCCCCTCCTTAATTTACCGTAATGTCTTTGTCATGAGGGTCACAAGAGCGGAAGGGCCTGGAGAAAAGCATGGTGGTATAGACACCATCTTCTGTTAGACCCAGCAGCTTAGCATCCTGACTCCCGTCCTCCTCCAGGGTGTCTTCATCCACCAGGTGCTGATCCTGGGGTCCAGTGAAGGTCAAGGGTAAGAACCAGGAGTCCCAAGAACAGCCAGTATCCCTTTAGCTCCCCTAAGATACTAGTTTAACAGAACCGAGGGCTTCTTTATTATGTACTTTGCTCCTAGGACAGACATGGCATCAAGGGTGGAAACTTGGGGCAGAGGGTTGGACGTCTGATGGGAGTTTCACCACCTTGCTTGACTTCAGTTTCAAATCTCACGTCCATTGATCCTAATATTCCTGTATCTCTAACTCTTGAAAGCTCACTTACTCTCTGAACTCTCTATGTTATTCATCCTGTCCTGTGGCTCTTAACATTGACACTTCCCTATATCAGTGCAGGAGATGGGTGAGCCACTTCTTTGTCTGTAAAATGGGATAATAATCATCCACCTCATAGTGATGCTGTGAGGTTTAACATGCAAAGAATTTGGAGCAATGCCTGGTTACTCAAAAGTACATAACAATTTTAAGCTAAAAATGCTCTGTGGCTGTTGTAATTAGACTATTTCGTGCTGTGGTGTACCTGACGGAGCTGGAAGGAAATTGAGGAGGAAGACTGTCTCAAACAGCTGGGACCCTCCCCCATGACCTGCATTAAGTGGGCTATTAGCAGGCATATGGGACAGGACTCTCTCAGTCCAGTGGTCCATTCCTTAGCACCTAGGGACATGGAGTCCGGAAGACTTAGACTGAATCTCTCCAATGGCCATTTCTGCAGGGAGAGGTCAGCAGCCAGCTGGTGGTCTGGGCATGTGCCTGCATGTTTGGAAATTGTGGATCCTTCCTGGACTCAAAGCCTCACGAACCCCAGCAAGAGACCCACATCCTTGGAAGAAAGTTACCCTCCAACTTACCGAGAAATAGACATTGCCATCAGGCAAGACTCCTCCAACAACCAGATCGGCTCCCACGAAGGTGTAGCCATTTGTGACTCCCAAGCCCACCCAGCCAGCTGTTCGGACCTGGAGCTCAAAAGTGATCATCTCAGCCTCAAGGTCAAAGTCCCAGCGCAGGAAAATGACATTGGAAGGATCTAGGAACCTGGAATAACGCAATCGAGAGGTGGGACCAAGGTGGTTGCCTCGGGAGGGGGCTGCCAGGACCATAAGTAGAAGGAGCCTGAAGAGAAGGTCACAGGCCATGGCTCTTGGGATCTGGAGCATCTCTGCTGCAGGTGAACACTCAATACGTATGGACTTATATGTGCTTCCCCTGCGCTAGGCACCATGCCATAGGGGAGGGACAGACTGGGGTTCTTCTGATCTGATCATCCCCTGGGCTCAGAGTGGTGCCACTTACATAACCCTGGAGGGATGAGGTGTCCAGAGAGGGTGCAGAGCAGATTGCTCTTGTCCTGGACTGGGGACTTATTGTGAAATTCTCAGGAGTAAATCTTTTAGCCTTTTCCACCCAACCCCATGCCAGTGTCCTGCCAATGGGGACCTTACAGAATCAGGGGAGGGTTAGTTCCTCTCCTCTTTTCTTTTCTCCTCTCCTCTCCTCCCTCCCCTTTTCTCTCCCCATCCCTGGATCCTTGGATGTCCTTACTGAGCACTCTGTCCTCTGGCATATGTCCCCCACCCCAGTTTCCATGGGCATTTTCTATATATAGAAACGGGCATGAGCAGAGGTGTGGTGGGAGTGCCTTTGAACCTGCCTCCCAGTCCAGCAGGAAGGAGAGAAGTTGTTGGGAGGGGGTTAGGGGAAGGCTATGATTTCCATCTCCTGTGGGAGTCTTTTGCTGCTAATCCCTGGAAGGACATGTGGAGGTGAAGGAGCCATAATCAGCTTTCAGGTGGGCGAGTCTGGGCAGCTTTGAGTTTTTGCACATTCCTGGGGAGGGGCAAGGAGGAGGAGGAGGAGGTGAGGGGAAGCAGAGGCAGAGAAAGGGGATAAACGCGAACTTGCCTCTGAGAGGCTTTGTGCTTTATTTTTCCTCCCAGGAAACCTACAGGGACTTCCACTGGAGGCTTGGTCCAGCATCCCCACTGGTATTGTGCAAATAATAAACGGTCAGAAAAGATGTTAGAATATTAGAACACAAGAGTAAAAAGTGATATTAGATCCACTAAATCTCCCAAAATTCCAATCCACTTAATTTTTAGATGAGGAAACAGAAACACCAAGGGTAACATGAATAATGTATGTGCCTGGTCACTGCCCAGGCAGAGCTACCAGGACACGGGGCCCTGCCTCCAGGCCAGTGCTCTCTCCAGCTGTCCCTTCAGTCACAGACACCCACAGGGCACCACCCCGCACCGTACATTTCCACCATGGCTCATCCTGGATGGAGTTGGTGTCACCACTGACTGCTTCTTTGGGAGGGGACCAAATTCTCACCCTAACTCCAAAGTTCTTTCTTCCCAGGGTTGTACACAGGTCATCTGGAGCAGGAAACCACCTCAGTGACCTCTTTGCCTCCAGTGTCCTTCCCCCATTAGGCTCCACCCCACAGGAATGCAGTTCAAACGAAGGTGGACAGGAGCTGGAACACCTGTTTATGCCTTCATTCAGAGCATGCATATTCTTCTTCTCCTCTCTCCTAGGAGGGCAACCATAATGTCCAAATGGGAGCATGGGAGAAGGTAGGCAGCTAGGCAGCCATCTGGAAGAAAGAGGCTTACCTTGGCCTAGGTTGGGAGCCAGGCCAAAATCAGAGGAGGAGCTTGGGGAGGCAATGACCTTGAGGAGCAGGATTCAGGGAGGAGATAACAGGAGTATCTGAGACACCACTGATCCCAATCACATTTGGGGATTAAGGCAATGGGAGGGGACAGCAGGGAGACAGGACAGCCAGCTCAGTAAACTGAGATGTGCCCAGGATCCCTTATCCTGCAATCTGTCCAGCCCGGCCTCAGCACTGGCCTCAGGAGGAGGTAGAGTCATGGGAAAGAGCTGGAGTCAGCCATTGCAAGGCAGGAAATCTGTGTCTGGGCACTTTCTGGCTTTCCATGGCGCCTTTCTTTCCCTTTCCTCCTTTGTTCCCCAGTTACACTTTCCTCCCAGCCCCCTTTCCTTTTATCATCTAATCCCCAGAGAGACTTTCTCCATAGAGAGCTCAGAATTAAATGTACGTGTCTTGCTGGGGTGAGGACACCTCTCTTTTGCATTTTACTGGTATTCAGGATATGTGATTTGGGTACTGCTTCCTGGAGCTTCATCTCTCCCCATCTCTGGGGTAACGAGGTGGGAACCGGTAATGGAACAAAAAGCAATGAATCAGCACATGAGTATTTAGAAAGTAGTGCAATTGACATTTTGTGCACAATTAGATTTGAAATAGGGTGATGCAAAAAAAAAAGAAATCAATGAAGTCACTTTATACACAAAATTGTACTAGTATAATGAAAATCTATTTTTAAGTCAAGAGAAACACAATTTCAAAGTTAGCGAGGCAAGTGAATTATAAATTGTATTATGCTGCCACCAAATGGATCCTTTGTCAAAATCATGGGATCCCTATTGTATGTATTACAACTTCTGAAGAGTAAAAAAAAAAAAAAAATTAGTGACTCTGGGAGGTGCAAACCCCCAGGTGCCAGCCACTGCTGGGCCCTGATGTGGGGGACTTTCCAGGGACATGGGTCTGCAGACTTGCCCTGCTCTAGTTCCCTCCATCATTTATCGAGTGTCTGTGATGGGCAGACACCCACTTAGAACATTGACTAGAATATTGTGCAGTTTCAAGTCTTGAAATAGTGAGGTTCGACTGCTAAACCCCTCTGCTTCTCCATACTGTTGTCTGTAAAATGCTGAGGTTGGAGAGATGGTAGATATGGGGCCTTCTTTTAAATCTAATTTGCCAAATCATTGGTTTCTAAACTTTCTAAAAAATGAGGCCTCTTAATGCTAAAATGTTAGGAGAAGTTGTGATTTTAATCTCTGTTGATTAAGTGATAGATGATTAGAGAAAGATAAAAACTACTATTAATTCTATTATATTTTAATTGATTTTGAAATTTGCCATTGCATAAAAGTCCACTTTATAAAGTGTTTACTCTGTGCCAAGCTTTACTCTGAATTTTCCATATACTAATCCATTTATCCCTATGAAATAACTTTTGTTATTATTTCCATTTTACAGATGGAAAAACTGAGGCCCAAAATTATACTGTTAGGTAATGGCAGCACTATGAATCATTGGGAAAATATAATTAAAGACAAAAATCTCCCAATTCAGAAAATCTTGTCGCAAAGACAGAAGAGAAAGAAAACACATTTATTATTGAATAAGCATTAAATCAGAAGGTGACATATCCCAGGCATTTCTTTCAGAGATCGCCAAGACAAAGAAATCTTAGCCTTTTATATAGGCCAGCAGAAACCATTACATACATGTTGTCAAGACAAGCAATGACTGGCCCTCAAATGAGAGGACTTGACAGGACCCTTTGCTAATCTGTAGTTCACCCTAGAGTCCCTCTGTGTTTGCTAATTGCTTTTATCCAAAGAAAAAATAAACTTGGCATATCTTTTTTTTTTTTAAATATGTTTTATTGATTTTCTACAGAGAGGAAGGGAGAGGGATAGAAAGTTAGAAACATCAATGAGAGAGAAACACCGATCAGCCCCTCCTGCACGCCCCCCACTGGGGATGTGCCCGCAACCAAGGTACATGCCCTCCTAGAGTCCCTCGGTAACCAGGATATCCCTCTGTGTTTGCTAATTGCCTTTATCCAAAGAAAAAATAAACTTGGAATATCTTTACGACAGTTATTTGCAGCTTAGAGTTAGACCCCACTGAGCCAAACTGGTTCTGGCAACTTGGCATATCTTTACGACAGTTATTTGCAGCTTAGAGTTAGACATCTGCTCTAAATTGAGTTTAGGCTCATTCTCCTTGATGGTTATATTTCAAAGAGATGCTTGCAGGTCTTTGAGAAAGGCATCTCTGGGTCTTGACCCTGGCAAGAATTGCTTAGCTTTTAAAAAGATTTACATACATTTCAAAGAGACAGAGAAAGAACTTATAAGTGTTCTAAAGTAAATGCTCTCAGAAAATGGAGGAGAGGGAAGTCTCTTTTGTTACTTTTAACTGGGAGAATTAAGCTCTGATGTTGAGTTTGTATTCCCCCTTACAGAGGGAAACACAGGTAACTGGAGATGAGGTTCTGTTGTCTAAGGCACAGTGTGGCCTTGCAGCAGCCTCTGCCCATATACGGGGGAGGAGGGAAGTCCTTGTTTAATCTCCAAGGTCCTTTGGTTGCACTGAGGTATTTTAATTCCTGAAAGATTTGAGACACAGTTCAGAAGCACCGTTTTAGGACACTCTGAGACACAGGAGGGGGTTCAGGGCCAGTGAGTGAAGACCCCCAGTGACTGTGGGGACGTGTGCATGCATGTGTGGGAGTGGGGGTTGGCGCCAGATGTAGGAAACGCTCTCCAGTTTGAGGTTTGAGCTTCAGTGAGAAGATAAGAAAGACATTGTGTTTCCTGGAAAAGCCACTCCCTTTTGAGTTTCAGGCCCAGAGAGTGTCAGCCACTATTTGCCCCCTTACAGGCCAGGGTTCTGTGCTCCTGCCTGGCTGGCCTTGTCCCACCGCTCCCTGACCCACTGCCCTGTCAGAGAGGACCCCAGGGGCCAGGGAATGGCATCACTTTCCCTTCTGTGGGGCTGGGTGCTCATGGCTGCCCTGAGCACAGGTCAGATGTCAGGAGGAGAGAGCCACTCAGTGGGTTGATGGAGGGAAAGAGAGCTGGGTCACTGGGGCACCAGGAGGCACAGAAAGTTTTGCAGCTGGATCCCAGCCTGGCCCAGACACCCCCAGGCATAGCCTCTTGCCCTGAGAAGTATCCTTTCTGTCCCCAGGTGTCTCCTATCAATACTGCTCATGGGACCTCCTCTTCAGGATCTGCCTGTCCTAGTTATTTCTGGGGTGACCTTCACCCCCAGGAGCTCCAGCCTGCCCTGTCTGTGTATTTCAGGTGCCAATGCGAGCTTGGTGGAGCAAAGGCCCAGGTGGGCCCTGGTACGTCGGGGACAGGCTGAAACCCTGAGCTGCTTCCTGAGGGATGCCCAGTACCCCTGGATGAGCTGGTACCAACAGGATCTCCAGGGGCAACTCCAGGTGCTGGCCAGTCTGCGGTTTTCTGGGGACAAGGAGGTCATATCCCTTCCTGGAGCGGATTACCAGGTCACACGGGTTGATGACAAGGAGCTGAGGCTGCAGGTGGCCAATGTGACCCAGGGCAGAACCCTGTACTGCACCTGCAGCAAAGACACAGTGAGAAACCCTCCTTAGACAGATGAATAAAAACCACCCTCAGTTCCCACCCAGGGACCCAAGCTCCTCCTCCTCTGCCCGACAGCACCTCAAGCCTGCTTGTCCCCGCCCCAGATCCTCCCTTCTGGCCTCTTTACAGCTGATGAACGCTGGCTGCGTAGCACAGCGATGGACCACAGGTCTGGACCACCTGCAGACCGTGGCTTTGCCGCCTGTGAGCTGCGGGGAAGACTGCATCTCCCTGAAAGGCAGTTTCTGTGTCTGTAAAGTACAGAGAGCAACTCTACTCAGCTCAGAGGGCCTCTGAGAGGACTAAGCGTAAGTCACAGGTAGACAGGAAGCTCTAATTAGCATTAGCTCCAGCCCACAGAAAAACACATTGCATTTTATTACCAGTCTCAAGGCTCACAAGGGTGCTCGACAAAGACCTGGAGGATTTTGGGAGCTCAGAAAAGGGGAGGATGAATGTATCCATCTGTGGACCTGCCACTCACACCCCTGGAATAAGTAAACACCCACTTTCCAATTAGATCCCCATTCTCAGTGCACACCACCACCTCAGCTCCTCACACCCCAATCTCAGCTTGATCGTTTTAAAAGTGAGATCCTAGAGAGGACCGCGATCTGGAATCCACCGTGAAGGGCTTACCCAATACTCACCTTTTAAAAAGCCATGGCTGAGAGCCCGGTCTGCACCTGGAGTCAGAGCAGGGCAGGGCTAGGAGGCCAGACCCCAGCAAACATTCTGGAACCACCGCTGGGAGGTGCATTATGGGAGAGGCCAGGTCCTTAGGCCTCTGCAAAGACAGGAGGCAGGCTGGGCTGTAGTAGCTGAGCCACTCTGCTTCTAGTTCGGAGCTGCTGCATCCCGAGTGAGCAGGTAACTGGGTTCAGGTGGGAGTGAGTGAAGAGAAGGCATGTCAAAGGTACCTCAGTCTCTAAAGGAGGAGTGGGTGGTTGTGGTGCCCAGGGGCTGCCAGGCACCCTTTCCTCAGCACTTGTATATAGAGAGGAGTTTTTTCCACCAGGGGGCGCCATTGGCACACACTTCTCCTCTGAGCTCTGCACAGACAGGGGCCTATGATCCCTCACAGGTGTTGGTCCTCTCTCAGCCTCCTCTCAGGTGTGTGGTGAAAACCTGCTCGGCTCTAGAGGAAGGCAGTAACAGGAGGAGGTCTAGAGCCCAGCGCAGAGCCCGGCCCAGAGTCATAGAGACATTGTGATACCTGTGTCCTCTCAGTCCTCCAGGAAGGGTACCCCTGTTTGAGAACAGGGTCACTGGGAGGTCCTTGGCCACCAAGACGCTATTAAATACAGAGCAGATGGCAAGCCCTGGGCAACCAGCTTTTAAAGATAAGTTGAGGCCCTTTGCTGGTAGCTCTTGAAACAACTGCATCCGAGCATCTCTGGCTGGAGTGATGGAAGCCCCCATTGATCTGATGGCTTCCCTTTTACCTCAGTCCCTGAAACCTACCCGGAGATTCCCCAGATGCAGTTCCGCTCACTTGTACCATAAACTGAGGTTAATACCATTGGCTAGGCCCTTGGTTCCATGGTACTTAAACTAGCCCTCCTAGACTGATGGATGCTAGGTGTTCAAACAATACTTTTTGTTGTTTTACTAACATACCTTTTAGTCCATTGTTTATCATTTGTTTTTGCTTTGTGATCCAATCAGGGAATGTTTTGTTTTTAAATTTTTTATATATTTTTTCAATTGGAATTGACATTTAATATTATATTTAACAAACAGTACTTGCTTTGTGATTGAGTGGATTATGTTATTCCCTCAGTGAACTGAAAAGACTTCACCTCGTTTACACATAGTTCTGTTTAATATATTGCTACCAACTGCATATGTACTTTTGTGATATTAAAACCTCTCAGAGGGATGCCCTGAAGAAAATGAGAACAGAAATCTTCTCAGGAGACAGAAATTTAATCAACATATCTAGTTGTTCTCTTTCTTGAGGTCAAATGTATATGCATTTCTTGGAGTGGCAGGTGCTCAGAAGGAGCATGGTGGAGGAAATGCTTGGGAAAGGATTATGTAGTATGGATTTCCAGGGTCAGCTTGAGCAGGAGGATAATTGTATCCAATGGGAATTCTCACCAGAATGCTCTCACTTGCAAAGACTTTCATAATCAGATGGACAAGCTGGTCTGCTCTGAAATTCTGTCTCATTCTTCCAAGTGTGTTTCTTAATTGCTTTATAAACAAAGGGAACAATGGGACCACAAGGGACATATGCAGGGACTTCTTGCCAGGCTCACCTGGTTGCCACCACTGCTGAAGACCCCATTGGCCAGTGTCAGCGACCAACCTCAGCCCTGATCTATTACTGTACTCCAGGTATCCCACCAGCCAGGTGGTAGTAGGTGGGCCCCTTGCATTATGCTCTTTGTTCACACTGAAAATGACATATTCTAAATTTGGATTTTCTTTCCCTTGTCATCATCATTCCCAGCCCCACCATCCTTGAATAGTATATGTATTCCACACAAAAAGGGAATATATTTTTCAACTGAGGAAGTCACCTTACAATGATAGTGATCATACAGCAAGCTGATGCCCATGGAATTCAGTGCCCTTAACATATGCTTCATCATCTAGAATAATCTGAACTTATAAGACATCAGTATGACCTATTGAAATCTTAGCACCATTTCAAGCTGGGAGAAATCTCTATTTGCCTGCAAAAACTATCTATTTCTACCAAAGCTAAAATTTTAGTTAATAACTTATACAAAGGTGAAACTCTCACAATTGCACTTAATAATCCATATACAAAGTGTTGCTTTTCAACAAGCTAGGCTTCACTGCTACAGAGGTTTTAGACACTTAGAGAGGACAAGATTTACTGATGTAACTTCTTATGTCGTAAGCCACAGTCAGCCTTTGTGTTAACCTCTCATGGCTCAAGTCCATATGCAGAATCCTGCAGAATGAAGAATCAGAATCTATGCCTGGTGTTGAGAGTTGGATGGACAAGGAGAAACAAAGTGCAATACCTCCCAGAGCCCCCCTCCTTAAACCCTTTCCTCTGACCTATACTTCTATCGAGCTCACTTCTTGTCAGATTTCCTTTTCCCAACTGGTATATGTAAGTTGCACATGATTAATTCAGTGCAAGTAGTAGGCATTTTGTCACCCCAAATGGCTATAGAGTGGCTTTTTTTCTACAATAAGTCAATTGTTAGAGAGAACACCATCCCCATTTCATAAACTTTAACTGTCTAAGGGGAACTGAGTTTGCCATCTTCATTGAAATGGGAAGTAGAAGGGTTGTTGCATATAATCACAGTACAGGTATGTACAAGTCACCTCTGTTGGATAGAAATGAGACAGGTATGCAGGATGGAACCCAAGGAGTCTATTTAGATTTGCTTGTGAGGCTGGACATGGCTACAGGCTGTGTTAAATGGTCCAGAATTCCTGCTGAGGGAGCTCAGTTGTTTCGGATTGTATTTTCAATCCAGGGTACGTAGTTAAAGATTCTGGTATAGATGCCAACATCAGCTCTCAAAACACATCCATCAGTAAAAGTGAGGATTCCTTGAAGTATCCCATTGCAGACTGCTGGGGCAGCTGTGACTTCCTGCCAGGAAAAAGGAAACTGGGTTATCTTTCTGGCAAAAGGCACGGGAACAAAATGGGAACAGGAAGGTATTGAGAGGAGCTTACCTTGCAGGGCCGCCTTCTTCCTGGCACAATGCCCAAGCACAGCATACTTTTTGTGATGTCATAGCTTTTATAGGCATTGTGGCAATTAGTCTTGGAGATAACAGAGATGTTCACATTCTGCAATGAGTCAGGGTCCTTGGCTATAGGAAAGAGAGAAGTAAAACGTCCTCAGATACCAAACCTTCTCTTCTTTCCCTCCTCTTCAACATATTTCCTCTTCTCCCAGCAGAAAGAAAGAGAGGCCAAATACTGAGAGAAATCAGAACTGTGGCAGCTAGGACAACAGGAAAGTATCAGATTAACAATTTGTCATGATACAACTGTCTATCTCCTTACAAAATAGAATAAACTCTTGGAAGTTGATCTCTGCAATGAAATGAAACAAATTACTTTAAAAATTTTCTGGAAAATTAAATATTTAAAGAGTGTCCCATGAAATTAAGATTTATTTATTTAGCTTTCATATTTTTTATTTGTCCCATATTTTACATTTATCACTGACTCCTTTTTAATTTATTAAAATATATTTGACTTGCAATGTTGTGTACATTTAAGGTGTACATGTTTATTTGATATGTTTATGTAGTGTAATATGATTGCCATTGTAGCAATAGTTAGACTCAGTATCACGTCACGTAATTATAATTTCTTTTTTTGTGTGGTGGGAATAATTAAGATCTAGTCTCTTAGCAAGTTAGGTTATAATACAGTATTGTTGTTTATAGTCATTTCCAGGACTTGTTTATCTACTAATTGCAAGTTTGTACCCTTAAACTATATGTCTATTTTGAGCTTAAAGGAATTTAGAGAGCTCTATGCTTAGTTTTTCATTTGTCAGATAAAAAAATCCAGTATATGCTCACAAAATTAAGTCAAAAAGTGATTTTTTTAAACCCATAACATGAGAACTTAAAAGTGTGTCTTAAAAGAACTTAAAAGTGGGTTTCTTGATTTCTAATTCAAGTTATTTCTTTTATATCAATGGTTCACAAATACTATGGACTGTGCAGACTCATGACAAAGTTTTTATGGGGTTATTTTCAGTGCAACAAAATGAGATAAACAAGAACAAAGTAATATTAATAATTATGTTAGGTATTCTTGCCAAGGAGTTTTCATTGGGAAAAGTAGTTTATTTTGACATTTTGTTTTTCTAATGGGATTGTGTTTATTTGAATTCCTTTATTTGGAAATGGTATATTCATTCTTGAAAAGAAAATGTTTGAGGTTCTTTGTTTTATTTTCCAGTCCAGCAATAATGGTATGGCTCAGCATTTCTTCTGGGAATGCATTTTTTAAAAATTTAAAGAATATTTTTAATTGCAGTTGACAA